AATATCTCTCTCTCTCTGCCTTTCAAAGAAATAATTTAAAAAGACCTTTTTTAAAAAAATCCCATTACCTTCTCACCTGTAACTATTATATATTACATTCCATATGAACTGTTTCTTATGCTTCTGTGGAAACTTGGAACATTAAAAAAGAATCCACATAGATTACAAAGTGAAGACTCAAAGGTTCCGGAGTGATTTGTATCCTATCCACAATCATTTCCAATCTTTCATCTTATCAGCACTCATAAATCACACTCCACTGAAGAATACAGTGAGCCCCAAATCACTATTTTCAGCTTGATTGCCAACAGCTAAGTTAATCAACTAAGTGGGGAAGGAGCTAACATTTTGTCTTTGTTTTGAGCAATGTTTTTCAAAACTTTGCCCTAGAGATGCCCAGGATTTCCAAAGACCCAGGGTGTGGAAGGCCAAGGAGCAGAGGGATACAGGGAAGCCAGAGGTTTGGATCTCAGACTCCGCCCCTGCAGAGCCACTTTGCCCTTTCTGATGGAGCTTCCACTCCAAATTTTATATGAAGCCCCATTTCCACGGCTGTTAGATGTCTGCAGACTCCTCAAAGCAAGGGCACTCGAAACAACTGTGGCTTCTCCTCCAACGAGTGTTCAACACAGCCTGAAGAAGCAAGCACTTTCCACAACATAACAATAAAACACTAATTAAAGAAATTTCTCTCCTAAAAGGCTTTGCATCGGCTTTGGGTTATTAAAGTTTGGGGATTCCTCAAACTTACAAAGTGCTGCTGTTCCAAAAATTCAGTTTCTCAGTGAAGGTTTTGGAACTCGGGACTCACTTCTCTCCAAAAATAAATAAGTAAGTAAATAAGTAAATAAATAAATAAAGGGCAGGCTGCCAGGCCCAAGGCAAGTGGTGGCCTGCAGTGCCGCTTATTCCAATAGAGGAAAGTTTTACTTTCGCTGCTTGTCAAGTAGGCTACCAGTGTCCCTGGGAGCTCCTCACCACCGCTGATGCTATGTCTTTGCAGTAGGCCATCCTGTGGTGTACGACGAAACGAGAAGGAATGACGACAAAAGGGCCCCTCCTTTTGCCCCTCCCCACCCCAACCCCCCCGCCCCGCCCCGTGGCTAATTCCACATCCACCGAGGTGGATGGCTGGCCAAGAGGACGCTTGGCAGTGACCTCCGAGGTAGAGAATGCCTGCAAGCCAGCACTAGCATCAGTTTTGAGGCACAGACTCCCAGCTTGCTTTTTTCTTCTCCACTATGCCATGTCCCTTTATTATAATATTTTGGCACCTAAAATAGAGCCTAAAAAAGCTTGGGCAGCTTTAGCACTTGGGTTTAAAATGCTGGCTGTATTTATAACCCTCTCAAAGAGGGATAGGGGCCTAAAATAAAAGAGATAACAATGTATAAATATGAATAACTTTCTAGACTCAACTAAAAATTAATTTATATTTCTCCCTTATTTTGGCTTATTCGGCAAGCTAATGAAATGAAAGAAAAGAAGTAGTTTTAACCAAACAATTCTAAAAGATTTCAGAATTTGAAGATTTGGTGCTATGAGCAGATTTGATTCATGCAGTATCACCAATTACCAAAACAAATATATAAAATATTAATAGTTGATTGTGCATCAAGACTAGTGAGCCTGTTCAGAATTCCAGATATCAAACTCTAAGGTAATGCCTTGTTGCAGAACTGAATTGCTTAATAGGTTGTAATTAAATTAAATGCCATTACTGAGTATCAAGACAGTATCTCTCCGTGCTTTTGCAAAAATGGAAATACTCTTAAAGAAGTGCTTTTACTTCTCACCTAGAAAAAAATGACTTCCTACTTCCACTTTATGCAACATCCTGCCTTAACACATACTCCATGACCTCTGCACTGCAATAATTTGCCTGCAGATCTCCTTTGCTGGTGCTCTCTGAGAAAAGGGACCAGGGTACAAGTGAGGAGGGGGGGCACTGGGAACTCACAGATGGAAGTCTGATGTCCACACTGGACATACCAGCAAAGCTTGTCCATACCAGCAAAGCTTGCAACAACAAGGTATTTAAGTTCTCTAAAATGTGAGTGTTTCATCCAAGTATGGATAGTGATAAATACCTGTCGCACGACGTTGTTTGAGATTCAGTGAAGTGATACATGTAGAAAGACAGGATGACGAGCCTGGACTACAGCAAGGTTGCTGCTGATGAGCACGATGTCTTTATAGTCCCAGTGTCTACAGCGACTCCCTGCATGTACTAGGCAATCAACACGTTTCCTGAATTTACTTGAATTTGCCCACACTGACTGCCTGATGAGAGCCCACGTTTTCTTCCCGAGGGAAGATCGCACTTCAGCAAAATCTTAAAAAAAAAAAAAAAAAAATCTGATGCTGTGAGGAGGCAGATGGACTAATAGTCAGGTCAGTCCTGGTTGGAAAGAGGAAAGGAGACATCTCTTTAAGAGGGTGCAAAATGGTTGCCTGTCCCCAAAAGTTACCTTCAGCCAGATAAAAGTACCAAATCCCACTCCTGAGTTTACAGTTTGAACACAAGAATAGCAAGGAAGCAGTGATTCTACCCTTCTGAGTTTTGGTTTATCATGTGATAGAAAGGAGAAGTCACCAATCACACCTTTCTGATGGTTTTTCATTTGATTGTGAGCAAGCTGGACAGGACAGCCAGGATTACAAATCCCACCTTTTCATGGGTTTTGTCCCCACCCTCTGATTGATTCTCAGCTTTGGTTCTGTTTTCTTCTCCCAAAATTGTGCTTAAAAGACTCGACCGTCACAGTTTCTGTCTCTCTTGGAGCCCCCCTCTTGGCTGCTGTGGCAGGAGGTTTCTGACTTAAATAAATCTCGCTTTGCTCACCGCCCTTGTCTGCGTGGAAATTCTTGAGACAGAACCGAGGTTGCCTTTCTTTGCCACCGTTTTACCTGCACCCATGCCTTCCCTGAACAGTACGTGGTGATCCCATCGCCCTTTGTACATATCTCTATGAGCGCTTGTCCCACCAGGTCTATAACTGAGTGCTGCTTCCTGAAGCTTGCAGCTTGCTACCTGAGGAAGAGTAAAATCGGAAGAGTAAAATCTCTCTGCATTTCCAACAAGAAGCATGTGGCAGGAAAATGCTCAGTGCTTGCTCCTGAGCTGCATGGAAGGCACCCATACCCAATCCCTGGAGGACAGAGTCCTTCAAAGGGAAGGTGCCAGTGCCCACCTCAGATTTCCTCAGCCTTCAGGGCTCCATGCAAATCGCAGCCCCAGCACAAAGATGATCCAGCCCAACCCACACAGGGCCTTCCCTTCTGAACAGTCACGTGAGTGTTAGTTCTCTTTCCCCAAGTAGCTTAGAAACTACGAAGGGAGGATCAGCAAATTATGAATTCCCTTGCACAGTACCCGGGCATGTGATGAGCAAGAAACAAGTAGTTGACTGCCAGACTTAGCTCTGTTTCCAAAGTGCTCTTAGTACTTCTCCTGGATTCTCTGATTACCACTAACTTGATGAGAAGAAAGGCACCGGATCCGCACACAGTGGAACTGAGTCCCGGTACCCGGGTGATGCCAATGAGTGAGCAGAAGTGTGCTTGCTGGCCTCCGTAACACTGTCTCTCTTTGGCCAGCACCCCATCCTTGGAACTCATCTCTTAGCACATAATTACACAAATCAAAAACACTGCCATTTTACACAAACCAAAAAACTAGCTCGCAACCAAGGCTTCACAGTATTCATCAGGAATAAATTCTATTTCTACTTCTATTTCCTCTCATTAAATGGACTAAGAAGTGGCCTCAAGCCCCCCAGAAAGAGGATGCAGGGAATCACAATCTCCCTTGAAATTAGGTAAAGCACATTACTGGGAGATAATTCGATCCTGAGTGACTGAGAGCTGATGGCTCTCATTAAGAACTGCAGACACATTTTCAAGAACTATTAGCTGGATGTCTCTTTGTCACACGAATTCTGCTCTTTTTTCCTTTTTCATACTAGGGATTATCGGGGACTGCCACCACCACCACCACCACCACCACCACCATTACCATCATCATCACCATCATCAGTCTTCACTGGTACACTGGTACACATTTTTTTTAACCTTTCAAAATGCTTTACTGTCCACCTGCCTCATTTGATGCTTGCTGTTATCCTCAGAACAGGTAAGCGAGACAGACTATCTCACTCTACAAAAGCACAAAGAATCAGGGGAGCTGGCCCACGGCCAAGCCAATGAAAAGCCAAAGGCAGCCTGCACACAGCCTTCCTGCTTCCACTGGATGTGGTTTTCTCACACCACTGGCCAGTGGGCTGCTGTGCGGTTGCCAGCATCCTCCTCTACCGTGAGAGACGACATCACTTCTTTCAAAGAGAGCACACTGCGTTTCTGAAAGAGATCAGGTACCCCTGCGGCAAACCCCACCATTCAAAACCCTGGTCTTAACGGATGTGTTTCACCATATTGAAGGCAACTTGCTATCCAAAATGGTTGACCGGGAGCCAACTGTAGAGTTCTAATCTTTGTTCATGCTGTCAATGTGACATACGAGAGAAATATGAATCAAGTGACAGCATGCAAACAAAGCTAGTGGCTGGTGTGAGATACGCAGACAGGCTGTGAGCCCCACTCCCACTGCAACTGGGTCAAGCTGACACCTTGTTTCTCCCCTACATATGTGGTGTGGAAAAGCTATTTATCAAATGTTTTTAAATATTTAGGGCCAAATATATCAGAATTGTTGGGAAACACTTACTCTGACCAGAACTCATTTACTTGCCCTAGTCCCATGGGAACAGCACAGCTGAGACTACTGAGATGTGCAAGGACCAGGAAGGATCCAGATGTTCAACACTTTCACCTGGAATTCCCCTCCCCCTCCACAGGCCTGCTTTCAGACTCCAGGCTGCCTGGAGACCCAGGTGACAGCACAATGGCAAAATAAATAAATAAATAAATAAATCTCAGGAGAGCAGCCTTGCGAATAATCTTCAGCAAAAACGCAAGAAAGCAGGCCTTCTAGAAATTACCTGGCTCTGCAGTTCACTCTGCTGCTTCAGACGAAGGTTTTCAGGGGTGTCTGCCACCGTCGTGAAGGACTGCTTTGGGTAGTGTCTGTGGAGACAGTTTGTAAAAGGACACAATTAAAATACTGTGCTACAAAGCAATGCGTTAACACCCACTGTTTTACCCACCCCTCCATCACTCCCTTTGACTGGGGCCATCTCTCCATAGTTATTGGGGATCCCCATGGTGTCTCATGACTACCACTCAGTATCCCCACTTTCTCCCAAAATGTCAACCTCAGCTTCTACTCCTACTGGCCACTGCCTGTGGACACTCAGACCCGCTCAGGACTTTCCCAACTTGTAGTGTCCCTCCCTGTACCTGCCACCTCTGTAGCAGGTACACCCTCTGCTCTACCCTCAGCCAAACTCCCTTCCTAAGAGGCCTAGCCTCATTGTACCTGCCCAGCTCCCCTCAGCTCGCTCCCCCACTCTGTGTCTGGCTTCCAGCTTTGTTTCCAGAGTGTCTCTCCCCAGAGTGCTAATGGCTTTCTGTGGACACACCCAGTAGATGTCTTTCAGTCGTCCTCCTGCTTGGTCTCCACTCCACCTTGAAATATCCTCACCCCAGGCTTGGCTTCTTCCTCTGCCCCCACAGTCCCCTCACAACCCTGAACTCCTCCTCAGGTATTCTCTTTGTCATTTATTCATGCTCTAGTGCCCAAGTCAGACCTTGGAGTGTAAGCCATATTCCTCACACATCTAATCAATCAACCAATCCATCAATCACCAAGTGCATTAATCCTGTCTGCTCAATATGCCTCAACTACATTTACAGAGACATGGCTGCAGATGCACCCATCTCATCATCTCCATTGTAAATCTTTACTACAAGCCATTTATCTCCCAGGTAACTGCAACCCTTGCCAGCCTTGCCCTGCCACTCCCAACTGTCAAAGCAAGCATTCTAAAACACCAAGTAAAACCTGCCAGTGACTTCGCACTAATCGCAGACTAAAGACCTGCCGCCTGCCTCCCAAGGCCCCCATGCCCAGCCCTTCGCACACATCCTGCTCTCCTGACATGCTCTGGCCCCAGGGTCACTTCAGTCCCAGGGTTCACCCTGCCTTTACCATGGCTCCCAGACACCCTGTTCCCCTGGCTTGGAGCCCCATCCCTCCTCCCACCCCATTTTCCTGGGTAATTCAGCCTTAGATGCCACTTGCTCAAGGAAGCTCTCCTGGCCTCCCAGATTTTGGATAGGGATGGAGACCGGAGGTACTTCCCTGTCACAAGGCTTCTCCTAGTCATGGTGTTTGCCCATCTGCACCTCTGTTTCAAGGCACAGAGAAAGTTCAGCAGCATTAAGGGCAGAATGTCTTGTCCCTTGTCAGAGCCAGTGCCTGCCTGCATCCCCAGTCCCTGCCAGAGACTGGCCCCCAGGACAGCCCCAATCAATATTTGTGCACAGAAGCAGGGGAGGGAGGTGTAGCCGACAGAGCCTTTAGGAACCTGGGCTGGAAGCTCACGCCAGGTGCATGCACACACAGCCACCTTCCACACTCACAGGTGGCCCCCCTGGTGGCAAAGGGATTCCAGCTGGGAAGGACCCCAAAAGCTGCTTTGTGGTTGCCACGGTCTCCACTCAAAGGCTGTAAAGAGAAGAGCTGTTCCTCCAAGAGCTCCCTCCCTGTTTCTTTGTCCCCGGCGCCTCTCCTTGCTGAGGCTCACCTGTGCAGAGGGCTTTGCATGTGTTAGCCTAAATACATTGGAGCAGGTGTGGAGCCTAGCAATGAAAAGGCCCACATCCCATATCTGAGTTTCTGGATTTGAGTGCCCGCTCTGTTTCTGACTCCAGTCTCCTGCCAATGCAAACCCTGGGAGGCAGCAGTGATGGCTCAAGTAATTGGGTTCCTGCCACTCATGTGGAAAACCTAGGTTTAGTTCCTGATTCCTGGATCTGGCTTTGCCCCAGCCGCAGTCATTGTAAGCATCTGGGGGAGGGTGGGTAAAGCAGTAGATGGGAGCTCTTTCACTCTTCTCCTTCAAATAAATAAATTTTTAAAAGAAAAATTAAATATTTTCTAGCCCTATACAGTCAGATTCATGATAGGAGAAATGTATACAGAATATACTTTTCCTTTTTTCCCAGAATTCTTCAGGAATTTCGTGTTCCTCAGAAGTCCACATTCCAGGTAACCAAAGCTAACCCCATAACTGCAGACTCATTTCAACTATTTTTTTTATTTGTTTTAACAGGCAGAGTTAGACATTGACACTCTTCAAAAACCTGTATCATTTCCCTGCCTTCTTAGAATCCACAGAGGGGCCGGCACTGTGACATAGCAGGTAAAGCCACTGCCTGCAGTGCCGGCATCCCATATGGGCACTGGTTCAACTCCCAATTGCTCCACTTCCAATCCAGCTCTCTGCTATGGCCTGGGAAAGCAGTAGAAGATGGTTGAGGTCCTTGGGCCCCTGCACCCACATGGGAGACCCGGAAGAAGCTCCTGCTTCCTGTCTTCAGATCAGCTCAGCTCCAGCTGTTGCAGCCAATAACTGGGGAGTGAATCAGCAGATGGAAGACCTCTCTCTTGCCTCTGCTTCTCTCTCTGTGTAACTCTGACTTTCAAGTAAATAAATCAATCTTATATATGTATATATATATATAAAAAAGAATGCATGGAAACCTGATTCACACTTTCTCATGGTAATTTGGAGTCATCTTCATAGAGACCACCGGATCATGGCCACAGCAGTCATGTTTCACAGTCTGCAGAGGTGGGCTGGCTGAAACCCTGTGAGAACACTGGGCTGCTGTGAGCCCCGGACTGTCCAAGAGGTCATTTTGCACCCCTACCACTCAGCTCTGCACAAATTCTTTTCTACCTTTTGTCCTTCCAACTCAGACCAAGAAACTAGAAGTTACAGGGATTTAAAATGTCAGCTAGCATTGGACTCACAGATTCAAATGAGTCAAGTAAGGTCTGTCCCTATGTTTATGCTAAAGTCAGAGACACCAGCTCAGTCACACCCTTCTGGGGGCCACTCCTGTGGTCCAGGCAGCACACAGGTGAAGCTAGAGAGACAGTTCTATTGTATTATTTCATACTGGCAAGGCATGGCTGAGAAGTTTGAACCTGACTGGACTTGAAAATGTAGCAGCTATGTATTGCTGTCATTTAAAGCTCCAATAACAACCACACATTCATTCTTCAAAATATATTCTGTGAAGTAAAGTTATATAGAGATTTTCAGGGTTCCACAAGGTTTTATTCAAAATTGTTAAGTATGTATTTTAACTATTTTTTAAATTGCAATTCAATGCACTCTCAGGGAGCAGGCACTTAGCCCAGTAGTTCAGATGCCTGCATGCCAAATCAAAGCAAATGTGTGCAATACCTAGCTGCAGCTGCTGACTCCAGATTCTGCTGATGGCTCCAGTGACTGCATCCTTGTCACTCACAGGGGAGGCCTGGATTGTGTTCTCAGCTCCCAGGCTTCAGCCTGGCTTAGCTCCAGCCATTGCAGGCATTTGAGGAGTGAACCAGCAGATGGAGGCCTCACTATTTCTTGGTGTCTGTCTGTCTGTCTCTCTCTCTCTTTTTAAATACATTCTCAAATGTGTTACAGGAACTTTAGTAGGGTGAGACCCCTACTACACTCACTTGCAGGTTAAATCAGTTCGGGGGCATACTTTGGGAGATATACTCTCCCTGCCATTTATGCTTAATTAAATTTTTTTTGATTTTTTGAAAACTTATTTGAAATGCAGAGTTACAGAGAGAGAGAGAGAGAGAGAGAGAGAGAGATCCATCTTCCATTTGTTGGTTTATTCCCTAAAAGGCTGCAATGGCTGGAGCTTGGCCAGGCCAAAACCAGAAGCCTAAAACCCCATCTGGGTCTCTCAGGAGGGTGGCAAGGACCCAAGCACTTAGGCCATTTTCCATTGCTTTCCCAGACACATTAGCAGAGAGCTGGATCAGAAGTGGAGCAGCCAGGACTCAAATCAGTACCTCTATGAGATGCTGATGTCACAGGCAGCAGCTTAACCTGCTGGGCCACAGTGCTGCCTAGTTACTTAACTTTTAACAAAAGAACATCCTGAGATTATAAGTGAACAGTTGAGGGGCACAATTTGCAGATGTTTTACTGTGTGCAAGGCAAAAATGACTTCTATTTAGATACTAATGAAGTTTCACTTGCCACCCAAATGTCTCATTCTAAGTATCACATCATGAAAATCACCTAATTATTCTCACCATTCAACTTCACAATGAGAAAGTGTGATGGATTTGAACCTATAAAACACATGCCTGCACATACACACCACTTTTATACATTCGGTCTTGGCCTCTCATCTCAAGCTCTATCTGGAAAGAGAGCTGTGCTGAAAAAAGAACTGGGGATGATACTGCTCCTTTTTTAGGATATATTCTGCAAACTTGGTGACCAAAACAGCAAATTTCCTAGCAGACTGATCCAACTTGCAATTATGACAGAACCATCAACAGATGCCAACACTTTGCGCTGCTCCAATATCCCTTCCAATCTTAAAATTTAATGACTTTGTAATCATGGGTTAATCTATACATAACTTTCTCAAAATATGCACAGCAGGAAGAAATCATCCAAAGTTTTAACATACTTGAAAAAGCTCAATTTCATATTAATAGCCAAAATAATAAATGCTGGGGAAAAAAAGGAATTCATGTCTGAAACTGCAAGGATCATGAGAATGAAAATGAATTAAAACCTGAGGTAATGGGGGCATTCAGGGCTAGCAAAATTCAGGAGAATAAGATCTTCAAAAAAGAAAAACTCCTGTCAGGCAACAGTGAAACAGTCTCCTGAGTTGGAACCACAGATCCAGAAGAAACAAGTGTAATCACAGATGGCCACACACACTGCACTGCATCAGAAATGACAACTGGGGGCCGGCGCCGTGGCCTAGTGCATTAAAGCCCCAGTCTGCAGTGCCGGCATCGCATATGGGCACTGGTTTGAGTCTCAGCTGCTCCACTTCCGATCCTGTGTGGCCCGGGAGAGCAGCAGAAGATGGCCTAAGTACTTGGGGCCCTGCACTGGCGTGGGAGACCTAGAAGAAGC